AGTTGAGGACGCGTATCTACAAAGTCAACATATCGTGAAAATATCCAGAGACTCGGACAAGAAAAAAGAGGGTGCTACAGAGTGAAACTCAGTCTTCAGTGGGTCTCCGTCAGAAACGAAGGCACGGAATTGAACAAAGAATCGCGCTGGTCTGACTGACCTTCATTTCACAAGCTTCACCAAAGAGCACAAGTCAATAATAATCTCTCCTCTGCAAAGCAACTAATGCTGGATTTCTCTCGCCCTGTTTTAATGTTTAGTGATTAATGTTTAGGTCAAATAAGATTTTATTCTAACGCCGTTTATTATCATTTATCCTAAAATGCCGAAGTGCTGCGATTGAGTTTTGGTCTTAATGTTTCTTAATATCTAAATTTGCCTGCCCTATTATGAATTAGGATGCCGTTATTTAAAATCAGTGCCGAATAGATTTCGCCTTCAAATTTCGCTAAAGGGATTAGATCTAGAGCGACTTTGTTAATAAATATTTTATTTAAGTTAAATTTTGGATCCTTTTACTTCTAATGAAAATAGCGGACAAATTTTCCCATTTCGAAACGAAAAATGAAATTACAGAAATTTGCGGAAATGTATTTTTTTATTTTATAAAGTAAAATTAAATGTTAGCTGGAAAAACTTGGATTAGATTCAAGTCTTAATTTATGCAGCTAGCCGCAATGTGTATCCGCATAATAATAGTAATTTGAGCCAATTTCCCTAGAGATGTTTCAGCTGTCATGACCGGAATGGCTACATAACATCACGTTTCCAACAAAAGACTGGAACTAGTCAAATGCGTTGTTTAAATTTAAAAAAAATAAAAATAAATAAAGAAATAAGAAGAATCTTCCGGTCCTTTATGGGAAAGCCGATTTTAATGTATCAATTTTAGTCACTGCTGAATGAAATTAGCTGAAAATTTAAAGAAGACACGAAAATCTATGCTTATGATAAACGTTGTATATATATTTATGCCTACAACCGAACCTAAAGCATGAAGGTCAAATTAACTTGATTTATCACACAAGCCAAGGAAATCTATTCTATGTCTCTTTTTTAAAAAAGGAAATAGAGAAGAGGTCCACAGCAGTCTGATTAACCAAGTTAATTTGATCGTAATAATTTGATCCTAAATTAACACGGTTTAGTTATCTATGTTTCCGAAGGCTTAAGTAATATCAAAGAGAAGTTACTCAGTTAGTTGGTAATTCAGGTAGGAAATATGAGAATGAAATGATAATTAAGATAATAATTGAATCCTAAGTTAAAATGGTTTATTATTTTGCTTTCCGAAGGTTTAAATAATATCAAAGAGAAGTTAGTCTTTAACATCAACAGCCACGTCTGTTTGACTGTTGTTTCCAGTTGACACAAAAACAACAGACAAAAAAACAACAGATGTTGATGTAATAAAACCTTAGTTCTGATTAGTTTTAGATAATTCAAGCAGGAAATATGAGAATGAAATGATAATTAAGATAATAAATAATTGATTTGTATATAACCTATGCGATGGTTTGAATGGTTATTTATTACTATTAGGCCTAAGCAAGCTTGAGATAGATGTGAAATTTTTAGGTTTAGAAGAGAACTCCAATACCAGTTGCCCCCCATTAGAGAGATTTTTTGTGACTATCAGCTCAATTTGATGTCATTTGTAAAAATCCACCCACGCCACACCAGTGAGATTCAATGTCCAGTCCTCCGTCCTCGGATCCTCCATCGACACACCTACTCCGTGAGCCAGCACAATGTTAGCACCCCCGTTTTTCATCCTACCGCAGTGGAACATCCCTAGACACATTGTTTGCAGGCAAGCACCTTACTGTTTTTTTTTGGAAAAAGGTGTGGGTAGTACTATGACAAAATGAATGAAGCCCCAAGAACATAAGAAGCAAACTCTCACCTTCCTCCACACTGTCTTTCCCACTTGGGAACAAACGGCCAAATCTTCCAAGTGCCCAACTGCCCCCCGCATGAATTACCGGATCAGATAAAGTTTCCCAGGATTTCTCCACTGGAATAACTCAGAGGACATCAGAATTCACACCTAATTAGAGGCAGAGCTTCCACAGCCCAGCAGGAGCGAGGTTGGCTAGATTAAACATGAACTTTCCCAAATGATGGGCTCCTAATCTTGCGAGCGTGCCACCTTAAATCTGAAATTAAATAAGAAGCTAAAATTTTAAGTAGAAAATGCAAGCCCATTAGCACTTTTAAAACTTAATAGCCCTATATTACTTGGTGTTACAGTGAGATTCCGAAAAAATTACTTATAACCCTAGTTTTTTTACTAGTTTTTACTGCTAAGAAGCACAAACCTAAAGTGAAAAAAACAACAACAACAACTAAATAACAACATGATATCTGGGCAGGAACGTATGTAACACCAAGAAATATGGACAAGCATAATTATTATAAAATAATTATCTGAACATAATTAAGAGAATGTGATGGTCACCAATAGCCTGCGGTGTAAAATATGCTGTCTTGAAAAAAATGTTGCTAGGATGTTTGAGAGCTATCTAAAAAGTTCTTTGTGTTCTCCAATGGTAAAATCATTGCAAAGCTGCAACTGCGTACGTTGTGAAATTAGGTGCTACTTTGTTTTCTAGATTTGGACAAGATGACAGGTGGGATGAAAAACAGACCAGTGACGACCTTAAACAGTATTAAATAAATATTACGCCTTTGATAAAATCTAACGTTAATGAAGGCACTGTTTTGACACCCAGTACTTTGTGTTGTTGTAAGTTAACCTTACATGAAAAACAGTTTTCCAGTACTTTATGGTTTTGTTAAATTGTTTCCGTTTGGTTTCTGTTTGTTGGTAAACTTTTAGTAGGCAGACTGGCAACAAGAACTTATGACTTGTAGTATGTTGTACGGGATAATGAACTTAAATCTTACAGCTCTTTTTTGTCTGTGTATGTGTCCAGTCAAATATACTTAAATTGATCCCTTTTCTACTGCAATACAGAACCACTTAGACTTTAACAATAACAAATGATTTATGCTTGTGAGGGTTTAATTAATGCTAGTTAATGCCTGGTTAAAAGTCCTACTTGTGAGGCTAATGGGCTTGCTATTTGCTGTGTAACTAATATAGGATTTCAATAGACCATTAATGTTTACAACGGCTTCACTTGACTACAAAATACTACCAGAATTCCTATTAATTCCCCTAGGTTCCATAATTAAATTCAGTGATCCCAAAGAAATTAAACGAATCAAAGTTTTAATAACTAAAGGATCCTTGAATAACTAAAGAATCCTCTGGTAGTTTGCAGTTGTATGAAGCAATTGTGCCTTTGGTCTAATGATAAATGATAAAAGTGATAATAATAATAATAATAATAATAATAATAATAATAATATAAACGTTGTAAGCAATGGAAGCATTGTAACCAAACACATCCTAAAAACTAAGTTTTGAAAGCAAACGATTTCAAAGTTAAATATGATTCCCTGAATTAATCCCAGGGTACCAACAGGATGAATCCTGATAATATAAGAACTGTGACAAAAACTAAATCTTTTGCATTTCAGTGCTAAATTTGGGATTTACTTTGTTTCCCTCCCAAGCAAATTAGAGAACATAAAAAAGAATCAATCATTTCATCAAATTTTGGCATTCCAGTTTTTAACTGCTTCACCGTGCCTACAATGTATAAAACAGGAACAACACAGTGCTACCAACATTATGCTCCCTTCATGTGAAAAAACCTGGACCGGAAGCTGATTTTTTCCCAGATTACTTGAATAAGTAAAAAGTAGTGTTGCTCTTAATTCTGTCCTTCAAATCTGTGAAATTTTGGTAGCAATGTGTTGATTTCAACATGCTGTCAATAATTTTTGATTACTTACTGATCAATTATTAATTATTAATGATGAAAACATCTGATCCCACCTAGCATTCCCAGTGATGTTAAACAAGATTCCAATGAGCAGTTAAATACACCAGGTTAGCAGTTTTCAGCGTCAAAGGAATCTAAACTTGTAACTTGAGAAAACAGCTCACATTCTGCAATGCCTTTACTTGTTACCCTGTGAAATGACATCTGAGGAAATGCAGTGTTTAAACCCTCTAATTAAAATTGCCATACCAGTAAAGAAAACTGACAAACCAAATGGGAAAAATGTGGTAACCTAACTGATGTGCTGACAAATGTGGTAACCTTAATGTATTGACGAAAGGTAATTATTATTTGGGCGTGGCCCAAATAGAGTAATGGAAACGGCTTGTTTTGACGCAAATGTGCAATAGGCACGGAATACGTGCTGACGTAAACAAGGCAAGTAAACAAGCGAAGCGAGGCGAATGTAATGGCATGAATGGCATGTGGGAAAGAAAGCTCTGCTAACACATGGCACTTTATCGCACTTTTACGATCTTAAAAGTTAATCTGAATCTTTAGTATTTTTGCCTCATCGAAATTTGGAAGTCTGAAGTCCATGGATGAAATCTATCAAAAATATTTGGAATATTAACGTACGGTTTTGGTCACAATAAGATCACAAGCAACGAACCTTGAAACACAGAAACTAATGAAACGGATCGAAATCCACCAATCACAAACAATGACCTTTTGAACCCGTTGAAGAAAACGTTCGTTCCTAAGAGGTCCGCTAAGATGATTGGCGTCTGACATTTCTTTGACGAGAGGATCGAAATGCACCAATCATAGAAAGACAGTTTTAATTGCATGTTTCCTAAGAGGTCATCTGAATTTGCTGTTTTTCTTTATTTTATGTCCATTTTCTTTTCCTTATTTTGTGATTGGTCGATTTTGTTAGGTCGGGTGGATAATCCAATGAGGGACGATTAGGATATCGTTTGATCCGAAATTTTTCGAAGCAGCAGTAAGAAACAGTTTGGATAACATTTGGCCGCGGCGTTTCGAGGAACGTGTTAATATAATGTTCAATCATGTTATCCCGGGTTAAACTTACAAATGCACACACTGTTCGCGGTAGGCCCACACTAAAAAATAACACTGAGTGTTTTCGGAATGGGCTGGTCCGCGAACTCAAAGAAAAACAAAGGAAATTATCAAGACATTCAAGGACATCAAAGACTCATGGACCCCATAGACGTAATAACAAATCGGAATATCAGGAGTGTACGTGTAAAATGGATAAGAGTTTAAACAGAGGAATGTTTAACAAGTTTAAGAGTCGCAAGATTTGTGTAGCTGGTTATCAGTGTGACACTAGTGATTTTTATTTTTGCATCGCGGAACACAACGAGTTGCCTGTGATAAAAATCTGTTCCGATGAAGGAAGAGACGATTGTCAACAATTGAAACTAAACGGGACTGAGGCTTCTTTTGGAACTACTGTGATAACTGCAACAATTCTTTTTACTATTTCAATTTTGTTTAGCAGGGTGACGGTTAATGTACTTGTTTTTGTATTGCGTGTTGTGTTTTTCATCTAATATTGTATATATTGTGACGCGGTGCATGTACGATGCTGTGCGTATAGATTTTGCATTATCAGCAAGTTTTGTGTTAGACTGTTTTGATGGCAGCGAGGTGACGACAAGAGAAGGTAATGAGCTAGTTGTACAGAAGGAAAATTGTGTTGTGGAGGAAATAAAAGAGGTTGAATTGAGATCTCGTCTTGGGAAATTTATGTATGACAGAACTTACAATTCCATTGGATTAAAGCAGGTTGGTCAATTATATTTTCGACATGACAAACTACCATAAAATCGAGATTGTAATTCGAAACTCGCGTTGTTTTCAAAATTTGCATAAATCGGGTGCTGCAAGGAAATATTAGGTTACAAGCGCTTCGAAATACTGTACCTTCAAAACGGCATAGCTTTTACTTGTTGTGCAATATCTTTCAAAACCGTCGATCGATTCTAGTTCAGAAACTCTCAAAGCGGCGGTTTAAATTGTTAAAGCCGGTGCTGGTAATCGTCTCTTGTTTGTTTTCAAAAGACTTAGGATGGATCACATCAACTTTGGAGCGATTATTATTTTATCAGCTTGTGTTATGAACGAAACGTTTTTCTTCTCGATAAAGTTCACTCAAGAAATTTAGAAAGATTTACTTGACTTTTCATATGTGGAACTTACTGACTGTTTTATGGAACGATCTGACCATGGAACGAAATGATCGGTTACCGTCCTGCACCTAGCATACTACCGATGAACAAATTAAAATCTTTGTGACAGAAAACACGGAAGGTGACACTTTTTGTATGGAAGAGTATTCGGAAAAATACACCATTGTCGTCTGAAATTCATTGTTACGTTAAAAATAGAAAAGGTTTACACTTAAACAGGTACAGAAGTAACTGTAACAGTGTGAGCTGTTTACTCAAGGGGTGCTGTCGTCTAAGCATCAAAGCACAGGCGATTTAGGTGGAATGAGATATCCAAACAGGCTTTTAAGTAAGAATTCGCCCCTCTGTACATGCAATTATCCATTTTATAGTGCTTACAACAGTTTGAATCACCGGGTTAATTTTGGCCAATTTAAGCTTTGTACTGGTATAGAGAAGAATCCAGGACCTTCAGTTTATGAAGATGCTACAAAAATTAATGCTCCATACTGTCAAGGAAATGTTACAGTATTTGGGGAAAATGCTGGACAACAATGTGTCGCAATGAGTTTGTGCGCTTTAATTTACAGTAAGATAACAAAGATTCTTCAGTTGATGATATGACTCAAATGTATGATTGTTGGTGTTCAATTATATTCTAGTGTATCACTGCTTGCAAGACAATCTATGTTAATGTTAACAGAATTGACAGGAATGATTACAGTGTTTGAGCAATTTTTCCACCTTGGATACAGTGACAGTTATACTTGTAACATCCATCACTACTGTATACGCCACTCACAGCGTACTGCATTTGAAGCACTCTTGGCACTGAACTACAACTCCTTCATTTAACAGTGGCAATTATTGGTGCTGGTATCTACAGCATTGAGGCTGGGGATATAATGTATTTGATTCTCATGCTAGAGATATGTATCATAACAGTCATAGTGAAGGGACATGTGTATTGTTGGAAATACCATCCATGCATAAATTAGTACAATATTTTCAGACTCTACATAGGAATGAGGATATATATGAACTTAAAGGTGTACATATTGCCACCTTTAAACCTCATCTTTTCTTGAGCAATGTTGAACATTGTAGTATATCAAATGTTAATAGTTACCAATGTTCCTCTAAACAGTGCTGCCCTATAGCAGTTTATGCAATGTGTTACCCTCTCATTAATCCTTGTGGATACCGGACTTAAGAAACTTTATTTGCCCTTGTTAGTAACTGGAATGCACTGTACAATGTGATGGGTATGAAAACAGATCTGTCAGTATCAGTGGAGCTGAGATAAATCTTACTCTCCGGGCTGTAACCACTTATGTCCTATGTTGCAATTTGGCTCCAAGCATGTGTGCATTGGAGATGTGCATATTTTCAAACATTGTCACAAAATGACACTATTTTTGTTGTGGATTGGGACATACTGTATAAGCTGTGTGGTTCAGAAAACAAGTGGAGTAAAGGATTTGTCCTCTCTGGTAAGATATGATGACAGTTCTTTAGCTGCAATAAGGCATGTTCAAAGTATCGTACCCGTGGTACGACCACGCCCAAATACACGCTCCCACAGCGTCTTGTTGTAGATTATTATTCATTCAAAATATTTCCCCGATTCTGATTGGCTAAAAGCACACGTTTAATTCACCATAACCAGTTATTGATGACCAAATTTGGAAGAAATTTAACTTTAACGAGGAAATGACGTCAAAAATGCAGCGTTTTCGCAGGTTAAGGCACCGTTAACCGAGAAGACCTGGGGACGAGGTTGAGTTGTTTTGGTTGTGAACTTGAAAAAATGGCGGACATTTCACTGGTTTCAAGAGTAAGAACTAGGCGAAAAAAATAGCTAAAAACATGGCAAGAACAACAAGAAGACAACTCGAAGGGCGCCATCTGCTATTTGGAGAATATTTGTGGAGCTGGACAAACCTAAACGTACACTATCGAAGATGAACTGAACATCGATGGATCGATGGAGGTAAGCATGTTTTAACTATGTTTTTAAACTAGGAATTATTTTGAATGAATAATAAAACAGTTATTGAATTCGGCTTACGTATCATATGAAGAATTGTGGAGATCTCGGAGGGTGTTATCCGCCTCGGCCTTCGGCCTCGACGGATACCACCCTCCTCTATCTCCATAATTCTTCATAAGATACTCAGCCTCATTCATTAACTGTTAAATTATGATAACATTATTATTGTCTAGCATGTGTCCTGGGTACCTTTACTCTATTTCAGGCCAAAATACCAGTATGTCATTTTCCCTACCTTCATTAATATTAATAAGACCTGACATGCCTTTCTTAAGAGTAAAATGATGCAATAACACATTACCCTATCCATGACCCTGGTTCCAGAAAGCACAAAATCTTACTCTATTTTCTTGGAAATAACCACTGATACTTTGAACAAGAGCTTGGAGAGACAAGGGAACGTAAATTCTCTCTGACTTACAGCAGACACTAATATCTGGCTACTTTATTTTTTCTCATTGCAACTTGAACTTTTGAAGAATTCCCAGGAAATAATTATTTTCTATAATTTTAGTGTTTTATTCTCCTGTTGCTCAGGAAATGCATAACTTTTTTTGTCTATCATCAGCCATAATATGAAACAAAGTTAATTCAGCAAAGTTGAAGAGGCAAAAATTATGAAGTTGCAGCTTGATGTGACGTTTTGTGTTTCAAATGAACAATATGATGGCACTCAGTTCCTGGATGTAATAGTCTGAATGATTTTACGAGTGTGTAATTTCCCTGTAAAATCCTCCCACAGACCCACACCCTCCTACTAAAATCTCCTGGGGAAAGAAAGATATTTCAGAAAATAAGCATAACATCTGATATAACCCATTGGCTGATTAATATTTAATTCATCACTAATAGATGAGCATGGGTGCCTAGAAAACTGATGGCAAGGATGTTTAGTTAGCAAAGAAGGCACAAGGAAGTAACCATAGCAACCTTCTAACAGCAACCTCACAAGTGCTTTCCCCGCTTAATTGTCAGACTGATTTACTGCTCAAATTAAATGAAACAAAAACCTGTCCTTGAAATGTGACCATAACCGTTCCCAAGCCTTATGAGATTGTTTGACTAATACTGCTGCAGTCATAAGCTACTAATAAGATGTTGTGTTAAACAAAACCACTGCTCATCATCTTGTGATGGAAGCTTTAAACCTTATTGATAAGTGGTTGTACAAACATGTGTCTAGGAATGACTTGCCAATTAAAGATCAAAACTTTACAATCCTTTGTATAGAAGTGATTTATTCAATGAAACCAGTCCCAAATGTAAAAATGCTGGTTAATTATTGTCATTTCCAAATGGCCTCTGCTTGTGCAATGGTGGCACGCACACAATAGACTAATTACATGTATTATTAATGAATTCGTTTTTGACAATCAAGGAATTACTTCCAATTTATCACATGACTGAAAAACATCAGACTAGATATGCATACAAATATAAAGGATTTTTGAAAATTTCACCTAACCTACAATAATGAAGACCCCCAAATTATTTTTTTTCTGATAAAAGTTCATCAATATTTCTGGACATCTCAGACTACTTTCTAGCAACCCCCCTTAAAATGCTTAAATTAAGTTTCCACTGTTTCCCAGAAAAAGGTTTTATAGACCCCAGAGATCATATAAAAATTTGCAAAGACTTTGGAAAGTTGAAAAGGTTTCAATCTAAAAGAATCTGGACTCCATACCTACAGACATGTTATATGGAAGTTATTTCAGTCATACAGCAATTGGGTAATTAAATGATTGATGTGCATTGTTTATGATCTATAATATTAAAGTTCTGTTCTTTTGTTTAAGAAAATCTTGAGTGAATGGGGGTTGTGGAACAACAGCTGGGTGAAAAACCTCCCTGTACGTCCACTAGCTCCTAGGAGGAAAACCCCAGGCCAGCTGTACCCCACATTCAGGCCTTCCGGGCAGGGCCAGAAATTTTTTTAATCATTTTTGTGATCAGGACTTAGAAAAGTATTATTGTTATTATCCATAAAGATACTAATGGTAAGATAATATTTAATTAAGATTTCTAGTCAATGCAATTATCACACAATACAAACCAGGTGTTGCAAGACTCTCCACAATCCACAACCCAACTCTTGAACCAGGAACACATGATGTCTCATATCACTTGCCATCTAATCCATCNTATATGGAAGTTATTTCAGTCATACAGCAATTGGGTAATTAAATGATTGATGTGCATTGTTTATGATCTATAATATTAAAGTTCTGTTCTTTTGTTTAAGAAAATCTTGAGTGAATGGGGGTTGTGGAACAACAGCTGGGTGAAAAACCTCCCTGTACGTCCACTAGCTCCTAGGAGGAAAACC